ACCGAACAAGGAGTAAAGTTAAGGTAAGATAGCGCTCAGCAGTTACTACGTGATTCGAGATCAAAATCACACAAATCCATTAAATTAAGCATATGATAATGTGCCTTTATATTTAATTATGAAATTATTTCACAAATGTGCTTTAAATATTTTACAAAAGTAAATTGCTAATTGCTTCACTTACCGTTTTGAGGTCAACAATTCTAATTTTTCTTTATTCAGTATTTTGAAAGCAAACTTCGGAGAAGAAACTGGGATCACTAAAAAAAAATCAACGGTTTTAACGCCTTGGCGGATGCTTTCCGTTTATTCTCAATTCTAGTGACTGTATAACAATGAGACTAGTTAAAAATGTTTTCAGCTCCGCCCTTATTTTTTGACGTCATTGGAAGACACAAATACATATACACTGATATGTCTGCGCGTCAGCCTTATCTTATGGAACAGACTGACACTTGATATGAAAAGGTTTGTTCATGCTAACTTCGGTGTTGTTTTTTTTTTCTCTTGATAATAACATAAAGTTGCCATAGGCAACAAAATTACATTATTTTTCACCAAAAATTGTGCAATATAGTTGTTTTATCAATAAAATGTTACTTTACTCTTTACAACATCTTCCCAATGTCTCAACAGCATGTGTGAGGGATGATAGTGCTAAAGAAAAATAGGGTTTCGATACCCGTGTTGGGCACAACACAGATAGCCCATTGTGTAGCTTTTTGCTTGATCATATTTCCATACGTTGTTGAGATTAGATGTTTGGAAAAAGCTTTTATCTTTATCAGCAGTAATCGCCTCGTCAGTTGAACCATAGCGATCCTTATCCACTCAATTCTCAGAAATTATATTTAACTAAGCTGTATGCGTCTCTATTCAATTTAATCTAAAATAAATATTTTTCAAGTATATGACTATTTATCGGAAGGTCGACTGATGGAACTTCTGTTATTAGTAAATGCTACGAAAAAAAATGAAATACCTTTAATATTTGAGGCGTAGACAAAAAGAAAAAGCGGACAAAGGAGTGAAGCAAGCCGATAAAAGCGCTACTGTCATCAAATATGTCATTGAAAACACAACAAGTGATTGCATTTTGAGGAGCTGCTAATTTGAGGCGTTTAATGTGAGCAGTACAAAACGCAAGTTGAAATAGAGTATACTGTTTATTTATGAATCTGTTAAACTGGTAGG